CTAAAGCAAAGAGGATTGTTTTCTGTTATGAGTCACGGCACTGCAGCGGGGGGTTAGCAGCGGCTCCGTACACAAGAGTTTGCTCTCTCTTTGTTACATGTTTCTGCAAACAAGCTTATGTGGTTTGCAAGCTTTGCAGTTCAAGTGTGCGGCCCAGCAAAGCCCGATGTGCAGGCTGCAAGCTTTTACCGCCACATGGGGAAACCTCACCTTGCACATGAGCCTCTCCAAACAGAGCCCACATGGAACCAGTCCAGACCTGAGTGGGTCACTGGTCTAGCGCCAGGCCTGTGCTCATAGCCCTGCCTGCACTGTGAAGAGATCAAAGGGCATTTTTCCATGTGCTCCAGGGGTAGGCGCTTTAATTAGACTGGCTCCAAGAGCCGGTCTAATTAAAGCGCCTGCAGCATCTTGTGTATCAGCATCCCCACGCTTCAAAATGGCGGCAGGGACGCTTTAACTAATTCAAGCACAGGGACGCTGATGCACGAGATGCGGAGGCTGGTTGGAGTGTGTTAATTACCACGCCCTAGCAGATTTGATTAATCGAGTCTGCTCTGACACGCTGCAATTACAGCGCATGGGAGCAGCCTCCCCAGATGTGTACAAGCACCCGGAGTGTCAACAGTCTCTCTCAGGCATGCACACCTGCACACACACGCACGCTTCCTAGAGCAGCGGCTGTCAACTGTGGAGGAGACCTAGCCCAGACCTCAGAACAGGTAAACTGTCCAGCTCATTCACGCAGCTTTGCAGGTGGGTTTTCCAGCCTAGGCTGACCTCCATGCTAGTGAGGCTACGCTGCTAGCAGGCCTCGAGCTGGCTGATTTAGAGCTCCAGTCACAGCTGGGGCTGCAATGAAGAGGCACCCTTGGAAGTGTACACAGCTAAATGACAGGCTAGCAGGGACCTCCAACAGCAACTGTGTCCCCAACACAGGATCATCATTAAGGTCAATAAAGGAGTCATGAGCACCAGTCACAAAAGCCCTGAGTGCTAGAAATAATGCTCGTGATCTGCCAGTAATTGAGTCATTGTCCTGGGACTTCCTGAAGGGCTTTCAATTAATTCTTCCTTTTCACTGAGATTCTTCGATCATATTCAATCATATTGTTCCTTCCCTGAAGCCGCAGGTCCTGCTATTACAATCAAATCAGAAATACAGACGACCAGATGTGTCTCAGGATCACCATGGTGAACATATTTCACTCAACTCCTTTTACTGTTTGAAGGCCAGACTCTGGAAAAACTTTGCTAAAATTGCTGATTCCAGAAGCCCGAATGTATATGAAGGCTGACGGAAGTCTCTGCAAGGGGCAAAAAACCAGGCAGAACTTCTTTTTTCTTTTCAACCTTCTCCTAACTGTTTGATATTGATATTCAACAGCAAATCCAGCAGGAATACGGGACTGTCTTGGGCATCATATTCAGACAGTCATATCAGGCAAATATTCAACCTTTTGAGCATGGTCCTAAACTTCTTGGTGCCAATATAAGCTCAGAGTTGAGTCACTGCAGATGGGAGAGTGGCTCTAGATACACAGCAGTCTAACAGACTGAAACCTGAGGCCCTCGTGCTTGCCTTTGGATCCGGTCAGTTATAACACTGATTACAAAAGCAGATGGGAAGTGCGTTTCTACGGTTCCAACTGCAGCGTGCCGGGAGGAGGCAAAAAGATTTCTCCCTATGCATCCATCATCTACTTTGTGCAAAGAGAAGTGGAAGATGACCCCACAAAACAGCTTGCATCTGAGCAAGCAGCAGAGTTTTATTGAATCTAGCCCTTTAATAAGAAACAGAGTTTAGCATCAAGAAAGTATGAAGCAGACAGCTGAAAAGCAGAAACACTGAATAATTTATACACACATACACATATTACACACAGACACACACACGTACACTTACCACAGGAAAATAAAAAACAAATTCCCTGCCATAAATTCCCATTTGTTAATAGGGGTGTAGGTTGTAGTCGTGTTGGTCTAAGGACATAGGCAGACAAGGATCTTTGGGTGAAGCTGATATCTTTTAGTAGACCAACTCAAATAGTTGCAAAAAAATTCTTTGCCTGAAAGCTTGCAATGAAAAATTTGTTCCAACTATTTGAGTTGGCCTAATAAAAGATATCAGATTTATCCAAAGAGCCTTGTCTGCCATTCATTAACATGATTATTTGGAGAGTTGCCAACCAAGTAGGATGAGTCACTAGAAGAAGGCCCCAAGGCCACCCCAGTCCTGTGGCCTGACTCTGGGTGTATATAAGCTTGCCATGTAGCTAGCAGTCTTAAAACTACCCTAATCGTCTATCAAAATCAGCCTAAAGCAGGGGTGCTCAACTTCCATCCTGTGGGTCAAATGTGGCCGGTGGAGCCATTGGTATCTGGCCCATGGTGCTCCCCACAAATTGGGAAATTTGGCTGCAGGAGAGCCATGGCAATAAATACAACCACCCTCATCCGCTGCCAAATGCCCAAACCCCAAGCCCTGCACAGGAGGTTGGGGCCAAGTCATACCCTCAACCCCACAGCTGGATGAGGCTGGGCCATGCTCCTCCCCTTGGGCTGGATGGGGCTGAGCCATGCCTTCTTTTCCCTGTGGGGCCAGTTCAAGCCCCCTTCTCCACCCCGGCAGGGCTGGATCAAGCCCCCTTCCCCCTGAGGGTTGGGGCTGGGCCATGCCCCTTTACCCCATGGGTCTGGGCCACAGCCCCTATCTCTGCCCCCAACTCCCCTGTGGGGCCAGGATGCCCCATGCCCCACTCTGCAAGGGTACAGGTGGGGTCCTGCCATGACTATCCTGTGCCAGATCGGGACCACCAGCCAGATCTGGCTCGCAGACAGCTCCACTGGCTGAAAAGGTTGGGCACCACTGACCTAAAACACAGAGAAGTTTGAAGCTGAGTATCTCTAACTTCAATTCTTCATGCTCCTTTTAGTTGGGAAGGAGGACAAAGAGTCTCCAGTGCCAGCCTTCCTTTTTAATTAATGATTATACTGTATTCCTCTATGGTATCAGATTTAGCACCTCATTAATGCCTTTGGTATTTTGCTTGTACGCCACAGCTGTGAGTAAAGTTGAATTAGTGTTTCCATTATAAACCCATGTTTTCAAGGGTTTATTACTCCGTCATGTAAGATTTACTCCAAAGTAAATTGCCACAGAGTGCGCCAGCTTGGAAACATTTTTTTTCCTTCAAAATTTGGGAGGGGGGGAAAAATCCGCCCTGTTTATTAATAATTCACATTTTAAAAGGCCACACATTTTAAAGATATGTTTGCATGATTGTCTGTGACAGCTCCAAAGAGCGTCAACACCCACATATTTCTGGAGATGTGTCATTTAAAATAAAAAAAAAGGGCAGACTCTCGTACAACTTCCTGGGGAAAAAAATTCATGAGATTTAAAAACGATATTGGGAAGAGAAATTCAGTTTAAAAAAAAAGAAAATCTATGCTTAAGTAATGCCAAGGTTATGATCTCCAAAAAGAAAGGAAAACTCACAGCAAAAGCTATGTTTTTTCACCTGAGATAGTCCTACATTTGTTTTTGCTAAGATTTACTGAGCAGAGGGCACCCACAGACCTCATGACTAATGCTTGCATTGACACAGGACCCAGGCCTTCATGTCAGCAAGGTCCCGATCTTGCAATATAAGTAGGTCTGGGCCCTCGCAATAGCCTTGCTAAAGTCAATGAGGTTCTCACGACTCCACAGTGAACCAGCAGCAGGTTTGGGTGCAAGCACTGGCAGGATTGGGCCTTCCCATGGTTCGACTAGAAGCTGTGGTGCCTCTAGCACTGTGTTTATTTTTAATGGAAAGATCAGCAAAGCAATTGTTTTGGCAGATAAAACCCCAAACGCTTACAAAATGCAACCGACTTTGCAATCAAGTCGAAGGGAAAAAAAAAAGGCAAGCAGGCCAAGCTTTAGCCTAGCAACCTTGACAGTAGCATCTCTAAGTATAGCTCTGGTGTGCTAACGTCTCTTAAAAACATTTACATCTTTGTTGCGCTTTCTGTAATGTGACAGGGAGGCGGCAAGAAGTCTGCCTCTCCCACCTCTAGCAAAGAAGTTACCCCAGGGGACCTTTACTCGCCTCTCCCAAAGCGGGCGAGGGGTCAGAGGCTTAAACGGGAGCTGATTGCTACTGATGAAAACTTGGTTCTACACATGGGAGATGTCTAGGGGTGTCTACAAATTCCATCCTAACTTGCTCACGATACTGGACAAACTGTGACACGTGCAAAACCCTGGTGAGCCCTTGCCAATGGTTAATGCAGCTGAGTGAGCAGGTCCACTGCCAGTGCTTCTGTAATGGGACCAGCGTGTGGAAGATTGTGCAATGGTTAACGCAGGGAAACCAGCGCAAGTGCACCCAACAGCCTGCGCGTTACTCAGCGCTGCCCAGATTTTTCAGTTCTCTTCGCTCCCACAAGACACAGAGGTGACAAAAACCATGTCTTCTCTCTCCTGAGAGCAGTGCTCTAGACCATGGGTGGCCAACATGCACCCCAGGTGCTACAAGTGGCCAGGCAGACTCTGTGTGGGGTACGTGGCAGATCAGGGAAGAGAAAGGCAGCTCAGAGGCAGATAGGGCAGGGAGCAGAAAGCAGAACAGCGGAGCAGGCAGGGAGCACAGGGCAGGAAGCGGAGACTAGAACAGCAGATTGACCAGGAGGCATGGGGTAGGGAGCAGAAAGCAAAGCAGTGGATTTGACAGGGTAAGAGGATCAGAGTGGCATGCAGGGTGGAGTGTGGGGCTAATTTGTGGCATGCCTGCCAAAAAAGCTTGGCCCCTACGGCTCTAGATAGAGATAATGGCTCTCCTGTAGCAATCATACTGATATAACGGCTGCATGAAGATGACCACACAGCACCTGAAGCCCCTGCTATTTTCCCCACACATAACCAGAGACACAATAAAGTGGCTCTGCTCCCTTAATAATCAGAGTCTCAGCAGATTTCTGTGCATCAAAGGAGTGACAGTGCTGATGCTTACCAAGGCTCTCGTGAACCCTAGACCTCTCCTTGTAGTGCTTTCGCCTCCCTCGTTGCTCCAAGCAGGGGAGCCCCCCTATCTTCTCGAAACATAACTTCTTGTTGATGAAGAGGAAGAGGACTGCAAGGAGGACAATGAAGACGCCAACTGCGGACAAGAATCCAATGGCCTCTGGTGTAACTAGGAGCAAAACACAGAAATAAAACTGTTGCAACTGGAAATACTTGCCTTATAGACATAGCTGATTTATCCCCCCACATAGGCTCAGCAAGGCACCAGCTCTTAAAATGCATAGGAAGCCAAATCCAACAGAAAGCAGCCAGGCAGAAGTGGAGGCCATTGGCACATCCACTCCCATCTACCGACTGTATAAGCTGCCCACTGAATGATATTCTGGTCTTTCTTCTGGTCTTTCATAAACTTCATAGATTTTGGGGGGTTGGAAGGGACCTCAGTAGATCAGTCCAACCTGAGACCGACCCCTGGCACCAATGGAAAGATTCCTACCGACTTCCAGAGGCTTTGGGTCAACCCTAAATCCAGTGTGATTTCACTGACTCTAATAGGATGATCCCTGATTCAGCTGGTGCAATCCAGGTACCAGCTGGTCATAAAGCAGCTGTGTAAAATGCTGTTTCTCTGCATGTGGCTATGCCTTTAAGGTAACCTCACATAAGGCAGGCCCAGCAGCAGAGCGGTTATAACACCACTCTACTGATGCTGCGGCATGGGCTCAAGCTTTCCTCTGCACTCGTGACAAAGGTCACCTCCCAATCAACCAGGTTATAAAATGGGGTGCCTGGTCATACGGACTAGGGTGCCACGGGTGGGTGGACGTGGTATTAGATGCACCATTCCCTTGAGCATGAGTGACTGGTGCCTCCTGACTCTGAGGGGGCACCCGCAGAAGCTGCCGACAGCAGCGCCCATGGCAGGCAGGGCACCAGCCCTACCAACAGCATCAGTGTCAGCCGTCGGGGGGGCACGTGCACCCCCGTGTACCCCCTACCAGTTGCCTATGCCCTTGAGTGCCACTGGTGATAGAAACTGGCCTTTTCACTTTCCTAGCGCATCCAGGCTTTGGTGGACCTTTGCCTTCCTCAGGCAGGAAGGACACTGAAGGAAAGACAGAGCACTTCTCGTGGGGGTGAGGGGATAAAGCAGAGGGAGGGGAACTGAAGGCACCAGGCAGGCACTTTTTTTCTTATCTCTCCTCAGGAGAGATACAGGCACAGGTGGACAATGGCTCTCACACCAGGGAGCACCACTGCCATTACTAGGCAAATGACAATTTTATAGATCAAGGTAAAAATGCTCATTTGCCACTTGTATAAGAAGTCAATTCCTGTGGTGGAATTACCACTCGTTCACAGGGCCCGAGACCCCGGCTGGCACAACTCAGGGCAGCTCCCACTTTATTTTAGGTTTGGAGCTCAGCAGAACTGGCCTTACCGGCGGGTGGCATGGTCGGGGGGGCACACACATGCATGCACGCACGCACACACACTTGTTTCCTGCCTGCCACTCGTGCCAGATGGGAGCTGTATGAGGACTTTGGTGGCAAATAATCCCAGGGGCTGGGTAGCAGGGCCCACACTCTCTGGCTGTGCCCGGAGTTGTTTAGGACTGGGTGGCCGGCCGGTGCGGCAGGATAAAAGCCCCTGGGTGGTGGTGGTGGCAGCAGGCACTGCCAGGCAGCATGATGGGCCAGGAGGAGGGCCAGGCCAAGGGCAAGGCGGTGGTGCTCAGCAAGAAGGCAGCACAGCTGGGTGGCTCCAGCTTGCACACCAAGGGCTTAACCATCACTGACCTGCTGGGGCTGGAGGCTGAGCTGCAGCCCCCCTTGGCTACTGCCACCACAGTCAAGGGCATGGACGGCCAGGTGACACTGGGTGGTGGTGCACTACTGCTGGGGCTGGGCTTCCTGTGTGCCCACCCGCCAGCCTTTCCTGCTGGCCCCCACCAAGCCCCTGCCGCCAGGCCAGCATCTCAGGTGAGCGAACACGTGCTGCCCCGCGATAGGCCATAGGGTCCCCTACCACCTGCAGCTGCTGGGGCACGTGTGCCCCTCATACACACCCCTGCCCCACATCCCCCTACCCTCCACCCCACACACCCCAGACACACAGTGCCAGTGATGTCAGGGGGGTGGGGTGGTAAGAGGACCATTTTCCAGGGGATCATTTTCCCTAAGGCCAGCCCTGGTCCTCAGCGAAGAGCAACAGTGGATTTACGATAGCCAAGGATCTTGAAGTCAACACCTTTGTGCTGAACTGCGGAGAAATGCTCTCTTCCACCTGCCACGGTTCCTTTGTGTCTGAAGGAGCTGCGCGAACGCCAGTGGGGGAAAAGCTTTTAAAATCATTCCAGAGCCTCCCAGTGCCAAAGTGAGGGACAAACCTTGCACAGATTATCTGGCAGGGGTGGTCAGAGCACGTGTGTCAAAACCCCCCCCAAAACGTAAGCGCCATCTGCCAAATCATTTGGCTTCTTATTCCAGTAATTACTAAATTAGATGTCAGATGGAGGTAAAGTTCAGAAGCGCAGTTCGTGTCAAAGACCCAGAAAAGTCAGACATTGCCGGCGTGTCAGAGATGCACGTGACCTCGCCTGTTGACTCCAAAGCTACCGCTCCCAGAAGAGACAGGCAGTAGTAAGCAGAGCCGGGGCTGCATGTCATGGGTCCAACTTCATATTTCCAGGATTTGATTCAGAAAGCAGCTGGGCTAAAAGGTCGTCTGTCCCTGCATTGACAGGAGTTGCCGGCACCACAGCACGGACGGTTAAACACAGCTCACACAGGTTGAAGTGGCTAATGAGAAACAAAACATCATAACCCCGCTACAAAATACATCACTCTGGGGGGAAAAAATCCTTCAGGTCTAGAACATAATTCAGAAAAGCGGGGGAATGCAGAGGTAAAGCTGGTTCTTTCACAAGTGCTACACCCAAGTTACACCAAGGTAAATGCCCTTGCTTGGCTTGCCCTCCTCTGCCCAGGACCACGACACATCCCACAGCAGTTGGACGCCACTCTACAGCCCCCTTGTGCCACTCCAGCAGCAAAGAGAGAGTAGATCTCCCTGCTACATAGGCTAGGACTTTTCAGCTCAGAGAAAAGACGACTGAGGGGGGATATGCTAGCAGGCTATAACATAATGAATGTCATGGAGAAAGTCAGCTGGGATTTGCGATTCAGTACCCCTCACCATACTAGAACCATGGGACGCACGAGGACATCATCAGGAGGCAGGCTGAGAACGAATGCCATTCACTTTCTCAGTGTGTCATTCACTTGTGGAACTCGCTGCCGCAAGATGTTGTAGAGGCCGACAATTTAACCAGGTTCCAAGAAATGCTTGCAGGAATGGTCCATCGGTGGGCATTAAATGCAATGGGAGGCCTGCTGCATCCAAATGAGGGCTCCCTAGACCTATAAATGCTGGGCAATAGAGAAGGGCAAGGGACAGCTCAATCTGGATAGACCCTGCATAAATACCCATCCCCTTAGCATCTGCCCAGTGCCACCCTGTGAGACAGGCCTATTTCTTGCACAATGACAGTGGGTCTAGGCCCATAAGGAACCACAAATTCCCCACAATAGCTAAAGGGAGACCACTACACGTGCAACAGTGGTTTTCTTGTGAGCAAAGGCATAGCACACAGAACTGGCACCCACAGGACAGCAAGGGTGGCAGGAGGGTACGTGTGCATTGAGGGAGCGATCCTCAATGCACAAGCTACGTCTATTCCATCTCGGAGGAAAGGCAGCAAGAGGGCACAGCAGCCCCCCTGGCTCTCCAGGGACCTAGCAGACCTCCTGAGGCTAAAAAGAAAGGCCTACAAAGGATGGAGGATGGGATTCACCTCCAAGGAGAATTATTCTGCACTGATCCGGTCCAGCAGGGAGCAAACCAGGAAAGCCAAGGCTGCAACTGAACTTCAACTAACTTCAAGCACCAACGATAATAAAAAGTCCTTTTTCAGATACGTGGGAGCCGGAGGAAAAGCAAGAGCAACACTGGACCCCTGCTGAACCAGATGGGGCAACTGACGCCCAGGAAAAAGCCAACCTATTAAATGGGTACTTTGCATCGGTCTTTCATCAGTCCCATGGGACGCCCATGCCCGCTACAGGACAGGGAGGTCTGGGTGAGGGAGATCCCCTGCCCTCCATTAATGCTGACCTCGTGAAGGAACATCTTGAGAAGCTGGATACCTTCAAGTCAGCCAGCCCTGACAATCTACACCCCAGGGTACTCAAGGAGCTGGCAAGCATCATAGCCCAGCCCCTGGCACGGATCTTCGAGAGCTCCTGGTGCTCTGGTGTAAAGACTGGAAGAAGGCCAATGTGGTGCCAATCTTCAAGAAAGGGAGGAAAGTGGATCCGGCAAACTATAGACCCATCAGCCTGACTTCTATCCCAAAGAAGATCTTAGAAAAGTTTAATAAAGAGGCCATCCTTAATGGACTGGC